CTCGGTTCAAGGAAGGATGTATTTTCCTCCAGGGACTGGTTGCTTTATTCCTCTCCCAAATAGGAAAGCTGCCTAACCGTTTGCCAAGACTTCTAAGACACTCAGCTCCATATTGGAAACTCATTATGAAATCCTATGGTTTCATTTTTATATTTGCTCTTAATTCTAATTGTCTGTTTTCTGCTTGTGTTGTTCTGAATAGTAGCCTCAAATCTGCTATGAAAAGAAGTAAGGTATTATTTGCATTTAGATAACAGGCAGAACTCAGTGTCTGCATGTAAAGCTTACCCAATTATAAACATTCTGGGTATATGTCTCTTTTCTCTAATTACATTTTGGACTTTCTGAAATAGTTATATTTCAGCTATTCTCCTAATACCTGAAGACAGGTCCTGATTTTTTATTCAACAAATAATGCTTACGCGTTGAATCTTTGCTCCTAGCATAAAGATCTAACAAGTTGTTAAAGGCACTGAATAAATACTTGCTGGTGATATTTTTCTTCCTTGAATGTCCATATGGCTTTATTTATACCTCTCCTATAGCTTACAACTAACTCTGCCTTTTTATTAACTATAATTTTGTACTTGCCTTACCTCTTCCTTCATCTCCATTTTCACCACCACCACCGTCACGAACACTAGATTTCAAACTCCTTGAAGGCAAGGACTGTTTTCTTCCTCATTCCCAGGATTGAGAACCACTGAAGAGTAGATCTCCAGTGGTCAAAATTTTTATGTAAACTACAAGTGAGTGTGGAAGGAAAGAAAGAAGATAGTTTAGACAATGGAGGCTTCCTGTGGTACCTTTTTATAAAAGAGAGAGAAAAACAGACAGACACTGAGAGAATTTGATAGATATAAAAGTGCATCTCCACTGTAAGGTTGGTTTATATTGAAACAGACTGCCAAGAGAAGTGCTAGATGTTGATCACTTTAAAAGCAGGATAGACAGCCACCTGTTTTGAATGGTAAATGTGAACATATTCATGGCTGTTCTATAAAGTACAGGCAGTCCCCAGGTTATGAAAGTCCAATTTACAGACAACTCGTACTTGACCTTTAATGTTTTGTAAATTTGCCCTTCCTTTGAAAGGATTGAACCTACTCCTACTTGCAACAAATTCTTCACACAATCACCTTCACTTGCTGCACGTGCAGCTCTTAAATCATTGAAAAGGCTTTGAGCCTTTTCTTGCACTAAAACCAAAGCCAAACCCACTGCCATTGAGTTGATTCCAACTGAACAGTGACTCTGTAGGGCAGAGTTGAACTGCCCCGTAGGGTTAAGGAGCAACTGGTGGATTGGAACCACCAACCTTTTTGGTTAGCAGCTGAACTCTTTTTTTTTTAATTGTTGTGCTTTAAGTGGAAGTTTACAGTTCAACTTAGTTTCTCATACAAAAGTTTATGCATTCATTGTTTTGTGACCCTAGTTGCTCTGTCTTTACTGTAACAGCACACTCTTTCTTTCCACCCCGGATTTCCCGTGTCCATTCAACCAGCTCCTGAGCCTTCTGCCTTCTCATCTCGCCTCTGGACAGGCGCTGCCCATTTAGTCTCATGTATCTACTTGAGCTAAGAAGCACACTCTTCATGAGTATCATTTTATGTCCCATAGTCCAGTTTAATCTTTGTCTGAAGAGTTGGCCTCGGGAATGGTTTTAGTTTTGGGCTGACAGAGAGTCCAGGGGCCGTGTCTTCTGGGGTCCCTCCAGTCTCAATCAAACCATTAAGTCTGGTTTTTTACTAGAATTTGAGTTCTGCACCTCACTTTTCTCCTGCTCCGTCAGGGTCTCTCGGTTGTGTTCCCTGTCAGGATGGTCATTGTGGTAGCCAGGCACCATCTGGTTCTTCGGGTCTTAGGCTGATGAAGTCTCACTAAAGTAAGACTAAATAAGAACTGTAGGTACCTGTTCCAACTTACCTACAGATTCGACTTAAAGACACAGGAATGAATCTCCTTCAAAACCCAGAAACTGCCCGTAGTAATTAATGCTCTTCCCATTTTATACACTGAGACTCAGAGAAGTTAAGTAATTTGTTTATAATCACAGAGCAAGCAAGTGGTACATCCCAAAACCCAGATATTCCCCCTCCAGATCCTTCACTCTTTCTATCCCTCTCGTTAATTTATTTACCAAACAACCATTTATTGAATATATCATGCCCTGTGATAGATACCGTGGATACTGACATACGCAAGTCCTTAATGCTGACCTTGTAGGAGCTTGTAGTTTAATGGGGGAATCAGGTAAGAAAATAAAAAATTTTAATAAAGTGTGGTACATGCTGTAATAGAATTAAGCACACAGTATATTTTGGTTTTATAATTATAATTAAATATTATTAAAACACAACCCGTTTTAAAAAAAACAACCATTGCCGTTGAGTCAATTCCGACTCATAGCGACCCGCTAGGATGCAGTAGAACTGCCCTGTAGGGTTTCCAAGCAGCAGCTGGTGGATTCAAACTGCTGACTTTTTGGTTAGCAGCCAAGCTCTTAACCACTCTGCCACCAGGGCTCCTATTTTAGGATACCTTAGGTCTTAACTGTGCCTTTGCAATAGAACTATGCTGGATAATGTAATACAGTTAGAGAAATATATATGGAAGGGTAGGATTTGGTCCTGAAGAATACAAAAACTAGCATTACTCAGTTTAGTCACTCTTACATTGGGATGTAGGTTATGATAAAGTTGGAAATAATTACACCACCACATTGAAAGGAGGAAAAAGTGGAAATACCACAGACCTCTGAATTGAAAGATGAATTATCCTTTTCTTTTGTGGTCTCCTCTTGCTTAAATAACTTACTTCTTCTTCTTGAAATATGTATTGGAACAAGTGAGAAAGTATACCTGTCAAAAGACTAACCAGCTGAGAACCATTGTCAGCATTAATTTTCCTTTAATAAATAACTTCTGAAGCTATTTAGCAGTCTGTAATCTAGATACAAAGCTGTTGAACTATGATGGATAGTGCTGGATTTGTTTGTAAGCTTTGACGTAAATTGTCTACTTAATTTCTCTAGGTCAGATCAACAGGATCAGGAGTAAGGGTGGTTATATGGTTTGAGTAAAAATGGCTATAGAAGTTGGGTAAAATAATTGTAAAGCATTAATGATTTACCATCTTGGTGAAATAAATTAGAAACTAACAAAATGTCAGTCATTTAAACTTCAACATTATCAGAATGTTCAAATAACATAGATCGACTAATTACAAGCGCTTGTTATAACTGGGTTTTTGTACATAATCAATTCCAAAGTGTCTAAGATACTGTGAGGTAACGTGGTTTAACCATTTTTGTGGGCATCTCAGACTTTGATAACACGTGGCCACTCTTCCAGGATTGTTTGGCTAACAGAATACTGACTTCTTTTGCTTTTCATAAAAATGCTTAAAAATAGTATGAACTGTAAAATAGAAAGGCTGCTTGATTTGGCAGTAGCAAAATATTCACAATTTGAATGAAATATTGATCTCCTTCCTCGGTCTTTTTATGTTTAAAAACTGTATTTCGTTGAATAAATTAAATCAAAAGTAGGCAGTTACTTGCAGCTGTCTATTCTAATGGCCCAGGTTTGATACATAATACATACAATTATGGTTTCTTTATTCCTAGCTGTGCTGTAAAATACATTGTAAAGAGAAAAATTATGCTAATACAGTTCTGGTTTTGAAAAACAAAACCTAACTTAAAAATTATGAATTAAGATTCCTCAAATAATAAAAAATAGAAACAATACTCTTGGCTCTATTTTAGAGTTAATAAAATTTAAATGAATGATGCATCCCCCTCCCCCGCTTCTTTAGAAGAAGTCTAGGCTATATTTTCTATGCGAAATTAGAAGTTGTTTCTCAGATCATTTAGTCAATGGACATGCATCAAACCTTTGCTAAAAGCTACTAAGGAGTAGCCAAACCAATGTCTATTTCTTCTTCCTGCCGTATCCCTAGGAATGAATTGCCTAAAAGATGTATAGCTGGAGGGAAAAGAAAAATATCAAATTATCTTGGAAAGTGCTCATCAGAATAATCAGCCTAAATAAGCAATACTTTCCTTTACCTTAAAACAAAGAAACTTATCATCTGAAATGCCTACTGTTCCTGAGAGAAGGAGCCAGGTCTCACTCTTTGTAGATCTCATCTGTAGATAGTGTGCACACAGTGAGCGTGCGAGCCAGAGACCCAAAGCCAAACTCAGACAGTAGACCTCTCTTGCTGCTCCTATGCTGGTCAGAGCATAGATAAATCTTTTTTGTATACTTTTTATTACTGAATGTATTTCTAAGGAGAATAATAGATGTGTGGGAATAAAATTCATGGTTCAAATTTCCTTATCTATCGTGCCATGTTTGTGTCACAGTATTTAAGATGAATTGAGAATGAGGGTATAACTAAATCTGTATGCCTCTTTTGGTTTGTGATTAACCTGCGCAGGGGCAGACGGTTCAATAGGCAAGGTAAGCACGGTGCTTACCTTGCTTACCAGATCATCTGTAGTGAAGAATTTCACATGTGGTGAAACCCATGTGAAATTGTTCACTACAAATCTGTAAATAAGCACAAATAAGCCTGTGCTTACCTTGCTTACTGGGTCATCTGCCCCTGTCAGAGATTATAAAATTTGAAAAGAGACTTTGGTTCTGTAGGAAGGTGCTGTGGGGTTGGGAGAGAGACAGATGCCAGCCATACCTAGAAGCAGAATCTTAGATGTGGTGAGAAAATGTGAAATCATTCACTACAGATCATGTGGTAAGCAAGGTAAGCACCATGCTTGTCTTGCCTGTTGGATAATCTGCCCCTGAACCTGCGTGATACCTGATTGCGGAGTATAGAGATTTAGAATATTTTACACATGCCTGACATAAATACGATTTGGAGACAAGATGTTTTCATTTAGTTTTGAGATTTTCTCTCATTTTACTTCCCATCTATTTCAACACTTCAAGAAATGTTTCCCTTTGCCTCATCCCTATACCCAAACCATTCAGGTGTGGGAGCTGCGCGATCTGGGAACCTCACATTTATGGTGGGAGGAGTCGAAGAGGAATTTGCTGCTGCTCAAGAGTTGCTGGGATGCATGGGCTCCAATGTGTTGTATTGTGGAGCTGTTGGGACTGGACAGGTAAGCTTTTCACATTAATGACCCTCACTAGGTGATGTAAAATTGGCTAACGTTCATTTATGTTTCCTAACCACACATTCTTATTCCTCTTTATTCCATTCAGTCTATGGGTTCTTTGTTTGCTGAGATTTTCTTAAATTAATTTGAGATAAATTAGTATGTGTATCACTGGTGACATCAGCCAATTATTTAAAAAAAAAAGATATCAGAAGTTCCGTCATTAGAATCTTGTCATGTCATCCTAGTGACTACTAAAGTCATCCTTAAAACTGCTTCTGTTGGAAGTGCTCATGTTGTCGGAGGTACAATTATCTTCCATTTAATTCTGAAATTACTTGCTACAGCTCTATTTGTAGTTCCAAAAAAAAGCAAACCAAACCCACTGCTGTTGAGTCAATGCCAACTCATAGCAACCCTGCAGGACAGAGTAGAACTTCCCGTAGGATTTCTAAGGCTGTAAATCTTTGGACTGCCACATCTTTCTCCCGTGGAGTGGCTGGTGGGTTTGAACTGCCGACTTTTTGGTTAACAGCTGAGTGCTTTGACCACTCTCCCACCAGGGCTCCTTATTTGTAGTACGGTCAGGTAGAATTAACCTATTCATTTTAATCTTTTTCTTGAAAACAAAATAATTTTCATTTAGAAACTCAGAAAGAGGTGATTGACAATACTGAATATGTTTAGTATGCCTGAAATCAAACTAGATGTTCCCTACCTCCACCTCCAACACACATACTCACACCCGCACTCACACACATTCATTTCTCTTAATGCTTTGTCTTGGCCTTTGGCATCTCCTTTATCTCACTTCAAGACGCTAGTATTATCTTAGATATGGTTATTTTCTCTATCCCCCTGTCAAGTCAGTCTTCAAGCCCTATTGATTTTTGGTTCATTGGCTCTCACTGTTGACCATCTTATCCATTCCACACATTCCCCGGTCCAGTCTTTCTCTCATCATTTTGTATCTGGTATACTGCTCAGAGGGCCTAATGGATCTCTGGATACCAGGTTTACCACTCTACCCAACACTGTAACCAAAACCAGCTCCATCAAGATGCTTGTATCATCATAGCACTTCCCTATTCAGAAGCTTTGAACAGATCCCTATTTCCTACCATGTCAAATTTTAACTCTTTACCCTAGCTTTTATAGCTCTTGACCCAGTCTTAACTAGCAAATTTCTCACCACTCCTTAAAACATATGCACATGAGACGTAAATGTAAAACCTAAAATGAAAAAGAGGAAGATCCTCAATGAGATGAATTGACACAGTGGCTGCAACAATGTGCTTAAGCATAACAACGATTGTGAGAATAGCACAGGACGGGGCAGTGTTTCATTCTGTTGTACATAGGGTCGCTATGAGTCGCTCCGACTCCACAGAACTTAACAACAACAACAAAACTATAAAGATCATGGAAGAAAAAATAGGGGTAATGCTAGGGGCCCTAATATATGGCATAAATAGAATACCAAACATAACTAAATGTACAAATAGCAGAAGAGAAACTAGATAACTGGGACCTCCTAAAAATTAAACACTTAGGCTCATCAAAAGACTTACCCAAAAGAGAAAGCAGAGAATACCAGAAGGATACCTGTGTTTTATTGACTATGCAAAGGCATTCGATTCTGTGGATCATAACAAATTATGGATAACATTGTGAAGAATGGGAATTCCAGAACACTTAATTGTGCTCATGAGGAACCCGTACATGGACTAAAAGGTAGTCTTTTGAACAGAAAAAGGTGATACTGGGTGGTTTAAAATCAGGAAAGGTGTGCGTCAGGGTTGTATCCTTTCACCATACTTATTCAATCTGTTTGCTGAGCAAATAATCTGAGAAGCTGGACTATATGAAGAAGAATGGGGCATCAGGATTGGAGCAAGGCTCGTTAACTACTTGCACTATGCAGATGACACAACCTTGTTTGCTGAAAGCGAAGAGGATTTGAAACACTTACTGATGAAGTTTAAAGACTACAGCCTTCAGTACAGATTACAACTCAGCATAAAGAAAACAAAAGTCTTCACAACTGGACCAGTAAGCACCATCATGATAAACAGAGAAAAGATTGAAGTTGTCAAGGATTTCATTTTACTTAGATTTATAATCAACACCCATGGAAGCAGAAGTCAAGAAATCAAATGACGTATTGCATTGGGCAAATCTGCTGCAAAAGACCTCTTTAAAGTGTTAAAAAGCAAAGATGTCACCTTGAAGAATAAGGTGTGCCTAACCCAAGCCATGGTATTTTCAGTCACTATATATGCATGCGATAGCTAGACGGTGAATAAGAATCGATGCCTTTGAATTATGATGTTGGCGAAGAATATTGAATATACCATGAACTGCCAGAAGAATAAACAAATATGTCTCGGAAGAAGTATGTCCAGAGTGTGCCCCTTAGAAGCGAGGATGGCAAGACTTGGTTCACGTACTTAGGACATGTTATCAGGAGGGACTAGTCCCTGGAGAAGGACATCATGCTTGATGAGGTAGAGGGTCAGTGAAAACGAGGAAGACCCTCAGTGAGATGGATTGACACAGTGGCTGCAACAATGGCTCAAACATAGCAACAATTGTGAGGATGGGACAGGACCGGGCAGTGTGTTGTTCTGTTGAATATAAGGTCGCTGTTAGTCAGAATTGACTTGATGACACCTAACAACAACAACAAAAGAGTAAAAAGAGAACCTACAGACTGGGAAAAAATTTTGACTACAACACGTCTGACAAGAGTCTAATCTTTAAATTTATAGAAAACTTCAACATTTCCACAACAAAAAGACGAACAATCCAATTTAAAAATGGGCAAAGGACATGAACAGATATTCACCAAAGAAGACATTCAGGCGGTTGACAAACACATAAAGAGATGCTCGTGGTCATTAGCCAATTAGAAAGATGCAAATCAAAACTACAATGAGATACCATCTCACCCCTGCGATAATGGCACTGATCAAAAAAACAGAAAGCAACAAATGCTAGCAAGGTTGTGGGGAGATTGGAGCTCTGAGACACTGCTGGCGGGAATGTAAAATGGTACAACTACTGAGGAAAACGGTATGGTGCTCCTTTAAAAAGATAGAAATAGAAATACCATATGATCTGGCAGTCCCACTCCTAGGTATATATCCTAGAGAAATAAGAGCTGTGACAAGAATAGACATATGGACACCCATGTTTATTGCAGCATTATTCACAACAGCAAAAAGGTGGAAACAACCTAAGTACCCATCAATGGATGAACAGAAAAACTATGGTACATACACACGGTGGAATACTACGCAACAATAAAGAATAATTACGAATCCATGAAACATCTCACAACATGGATGAATCTGGAGGACATTATGCTGAGTGAAATAAGCAGTCACAAAAGAATAAATATTGTATGAGACCACTGTTATAAAAAGTTAAAAAAAAGATTGCACACACACACACACACAAAACATATGCACATGAGTCAGTTTTCTTAACTGTTCTCAGGAACATCCTATTCTCTTATATATTTATTCCCTCTTATATATTTACTTTTCCCTCTGATGTCATTCTTTCTCTTTCTTGCCTGCTTAATCCTACCTGGCCTTATGAGAGATGGTTTCATGTTCCACCTCCTCTAAAAACCCCTTCCTTCACTGCTCCTGCCCTCAGCAATCTTGTTTCTCTGAATGCCTACTGTCTATATCTTTTGGACTCTACCATATAATTTACCGCTTAATTGTGTGTGTTTGTCAGTTATCTTTTCTTTTAGTGTATTACTCCCATCTCCCCACTTAGATTGTAAGCTCCATCCCTTAAAGAACAGTCGTGTCATTTAGATCAGTATTCCCTATAATGCTAAGCCATAGTGGGAGCTTATTAATTACTGAGGGCTTGTTACTGTGTGGAAGAGATACCCTCAGTCTGCTCTGTGATAGCATGTTAGTTTAGCTTCAGAGGGAGGCAGTCGGCACCATGTTCCCTTCCCCATTTGAGAGAATAAACAGTTGAATGCTCGACTTTTAGAAAGAAGCCTATGGAATTGGATGAATAAAACTTCCTTTGAGTTATAACTTGAAAATAAAGATATTAACTATGTACTCGATTTATTTTCAGGCCGCAAAGATCTGCAACAACATGCTGCTAGCTATTAGTATGATTGGAACTGCTGAAGCTATGAATCTTGGAATCAGGTTTGTTGAATAGTACATTTTCATATACTAACAATTTTCATGAGCTTTCTTATTTGATTGTCTGACATTGAAAAAATTACATTCATGAGAGATAAATGAATTGATCCAGGAAAATTTTGAAATTACTTCATTATTGAACGTTAATAGACTTTGCTTATTTGACGAGCAGTAGGACCCTGGAGAGCATGCATATTATTTGCGATCACCATAAAGTATATTGTGCTGTGCATCTGAAGTTACATTGTTCTTTTTATGTGGGTGCTCCATTTCTTCTCTTATGTTGAAATGCAAGGAACAGTTTTACTATAAAATTTAAACACACTTTGGCAGTGTAGGGAAAAGTTTGTGTAAAATACGATTTTAATGTATAGTGAATTCAAGCATTAAGCTACCACATGACTGGTTTTATGCACCTATTTTAAATATAGTCCCCAAAATCTGCACTAGAAAGGCTCTTGGTTGTTCGTTCCCAGGATAAGCTGGATGGCATTAAAGTTGCGATTCATATCCATAACTCTTTCTTTTTCACTTGCCTGTGGTTTAGTTACTTTGTATTGAGGCTATATCATTCTATTAAAATAAAATAACATTCATACTTCGCTTAAAGTGATTCAAGAATTCTGTTTTTCCCATGGATGATCATTTTTTAGAATGCTTGAGGTTAATGTCTTAGTTTTAGCCTCTAATCTTTTAGGTTAGTAAATGCTACATATGATTAATGACCTAATTGATTTTTTGAATGTTTTATATTTCATGAATACAGTAAATATATGTTTTTACTTTAAAAAATGCTTAATCAGCAAGATGCTTTATTCAGGTATTTTTCTCCGACTCCCCAAAAGTGCTTTCTGAAAACCAAAGATTTCACAAATCAGAGTAGTGTTTTATATCACAGCTTTTGATAAAAGCAATAAAAAGAGCCAAAGTGCTTTGAGATATTTTTTAAAACACAGTAATGGATTCACATTTCCTCTTAATTACCATATCAAGATGCTGCTGTTTTATTGAATTGCCCTTGTCTCAGATGTTAAACTATTTTGACCTATTAAGTTGTCATGTTGTAATTGATATAAAAGAGGAATTTGCTTTGCATCAGTGCTAATTGGTTTATCAATATCCTGTACCATTTACATTTTAAAATTGAATGTCTGTAAAATGATAAGGCATATCTGTACAAAATCTTAACAAAACTGTTGTATATAGGAAGCTGTTCAGAGTGATATGTCTGTATTGTGGTCAGTTTTAGGCTATGGGTCACTTACCATAATTGAAAAACTAGTTATTAGTAGCTTATTTTCATATCCATCCTCTAAACTAATTTTATGAAAGAGGAAAAATGTAAATTTCTGGGACCAGAATTGCATACAGAATTAATTGATGTTGACAACAGGATTAGAGCATTAGTATGCATATGCAGCTTTAGATCATATTTTCATTTTTCTGAATATAAATGAATAGATGGTAAAAAAAATAAAGCCTAGATTAACAGGCTTTTGTATACTAAAATTCCCCTCCTTATTATTGCCAGCTCATTTTATATTCTACTTCTTACCTTGAGTGTCACTAGGTCAGGGTATCCTGAGTCGGAGTGATGCATCCTCTGGCATTTCTCAAATAATTTTCCTATCAAAACAATTATTAGAGTGAATTTAATTATCAGAGAGAAAATGAAAAGTGATAAAATTCCAAATGGAAACATTAAGAACAGAAGCAATAAATAGAGTTTTCCATATTGTTGGCCTTGGTCCACTATGATACAAACAATATTTAGAAATAGGAACCTTTTAAATGCTTAGTTTTTCCAAAACTCTACATATATTAACTGAGTATGTACATAATGTCTGAACACAAGGCAGAAATTCACTAATTATTTAACTGTTAAAATAATTTGTAAATTTCTGGTGGTTCAGATTATACTAATGAATTGCATATTTTCATAACATTAGGGTTTTATTACTTTATCTTACAAAAATTCCCAGTGGTTTGAAAGCCCTAAAAATGAGTGCTTCTACTATTGTCTTTTTTCCATGGTTTACAGACGTGGTTTAAAATGACAAGATTGTTCTCTAATAGAGTATAGAGAGCGGCCACGATTTATTGAGCTTTGCAAGGTGAAAGAGAAAATTGGCATCAGCAAGCATAAATTCCCAAGTAGTAAATTCCCACAAGGTAGTGCAGCATCAAAGTGGTTCAACCACATTTATATTCTGTTCACTCAGAAGTGAGATTTTTTTTTAGAGCATTAATGCCAACATTTACAAATTGAGTCACCCATTCCAATGAACTGATCATTTCTGATTAATTTCACTCTCATAAGTCAGTGGGTTGTTTTTAGAAACCCCCCTTTTTTTAAATAGAAGAATAAAATCTTACAGTTTAAAATTCTTATTGACCCAGTGGACTAAGTTGTTCTTTTGTAGTGAATCTTTGTGGATGTTAGTGGAGTTTTAAATGGTATTAAAAAGAAAAGAGTAAAAAAATATTGGTTTACAAACATAATTTGAGATTCTTCTTTGATCAGACCTTATTACTTTGTAATTGGGTTCCTAGATAGGACTCAGAAGCATAGTTTTCTGGCACCGAAAGTGCCCTTCTTGCATAGAGAGATTTTATTCCTGTGCATCACTCAGAAACAACATTGATAATGTGAGTTTTGTTGTTTTGTTTTTATTTATTGCTCCTCCAGGAATTGATTGGTTTTTATATTTGTTGTATAATAAGTTACTTGCATAACCAGGACCCAGGCCCCTCTATCAACCACCATCTTGTTTTCTCCCACCAAAAGAGGCTTAAAACAATTGAATTTCTGGAAGACTGTTGAAGCTGAGAACTTTCCCAAGAGCATAAGTTTAGTTTCTTAGAAACTGCCCTTAGAAAATGTTGGCTTTTCATGTAGGTGATTGACTGAAGCCTCTTAGTTGCATGCCCAAATGATAAATATAACAAATGGCAAAAGGTTTACAATAAAAGCTTGACCAAATTTCTTAATAAACTGATAAAATGCCATCATACTGGCTGGTGAATGGTAAGTTCACAACCCACCCAGTGAGACTCAGGATGGTTAGGTTGTGGGGGCCCATCTTGATCTGCATGTCAGCTCTGCCACAGACTTAAGCTTTGTGACCCTGGACAAGTAACTTGACCTCTCTGCTACCACTTGCTCATCTATAAAAAGACAGTAATAGTGGTATTAATCCACAGGGTTGTTGTGAAGATTAAATGAATTAATCCGCATAAGTCTTTTAAAATTTCTCTTGGCACATGGTAGGCACTTAGTGTGTAGTAGTTGTTTATGTTGTAGCAAGGGTGGTTGTTAGTATTTGAATTGAATTGTATTTTAATGTTTTTTCTTCATTCCACTTCTCACTCTCTGGCATTGTATATTTATTTATTTATTGCCTGTCTTCCCAACATAAGCCCCATGAAGGGGAATGCCTTTGTCTGCTCATTGCTGTATCCTAAGACCATAGCTGGAAGATAGTAGGCGCTCAGTGAAGAATAGTCGAATGAATGTGGAGAGAAGTGAACGAGTAGATGGAATATGGTACTTGTCCTGCCTTGGGTAAAAGTTATCTGGGTGTGTGTCTTATCTCACCCACTCATGAAGGGCAGGCAGCCTCTTCTTAGCTCCTTATGGTCTCCTTAACTCCAAGCACAGTGCCAGCACATAGCAGATCTTGGTAAACATTGGTTGAATAAGTGAATGACTCATTAAAATTGACATGGTCTTGGATGTTTTGTTTCCACATCCTTTCCTCTGATAGATACATCCCAGTTTAGTGATATAATTCATTTTGTTCTTATGTAAAACTAGATGGTGTAGATAGTCATAGAGAATATAAAAATGAACAAACTTTTTTGGCCTTTAAAGCCTCGGTTACAGTGAAGACAAATGTTTGGATTCTTTTTAATTTTTATAGTTTGTGCATCATCTTTACTTTTCCCCAGAGTTCATTTAAAATTCTTGTATTTTAAAGGTGAGTAGATTTGACACAATGACGTTTATTTGAGTTGCATTATATATGCAATCAGAGCGATGAATTCATTTTCTGTTTCTATCAGAGAACATTCCAGCAATTGTAAAGTCACATGCACGTGAGCTCACACTCTCGAACCACGTCCAGTGGCAAGTTATTATGGGGACTGACAGACTGTCATCCTTTTGATGGCTTGAGCTGTATATCTCCTGAACAGCAATGGGGCTCTTATGCAGAAAGTATCATATGTTCCCAGCCAATTTACAGGGAAACAGCAATAACATTTTATCATGGTTGAGAGCCCAGTAGCTGCTTCCTATTAAACTTGCCCTTTCAGATACCTGTCTTGGATTAATTTGTTGATTTCAAATGGAAACTCAGTCTTCTCCAGTGAAGCATGACGTTCTAGGATAGACTCTCTGAATGACAATTACTGTGTATTCTAGCTGGTTGCAGACCATTACAAGCCTTGGGCATAGTGCAAGACAGAGGACTTCAGTAACTGATTTTAATATCATGTCTAATTTTAACTGTCAGTTATATATGTGCCAGTGAAAGAATCCTCAGAAAGATGAAATGCAAAACACTCTAACTTGCTCTTTTTAATGATATACTTTGCTGCTGGGTAGGAGAGGGTGGGGGAGGAAGCTCAGGGAGGGAGTAGCCATCTCCTAAAGAGAACCAGCATGGTGGAGAGGAGCACCAGATTTGAAAAGTGAGCATTGAAGAACTGCCACCTGGTTAATGTGTGCCCTGCAGGATGTTTCTGAATAGCAGTGTGTTCACCGAAAAGGGTTTCCATAAATCAATGCCAGTGTTTTCCTTGAACATTCAAGAAAAACGTAGGGTTTTACAAAGTCAGGATAATAAGCTTTGCTCACCATTTTGGTTAAGTATTATAGACAGTATGAATTTCTTTGGCAAAACAAACTGTTATGAGGTACTGCTGAGTTTAACCTGGTAGATTATAAGGAGGAAAGTAACTAGGCTGCTTTAAATATGATGAGCCATTTTAAAAGAAAATTTAAATTAGAAAGCCCCTAAATTGTATTTGAAATGGAGGGGAAAAGCAATGTTTGAGGATCTTTAAAAATATTTCCTGCTTGTGGAGCACATTAGGTATATACATCCTTGAACATTTATGCTCAGACAATTTATTTGCAGTTACAGCAAATTAACTAATTGTTAATTTGTAATTTTACTTTTCACAATTATTCCCTAAACACATTGGCTTTATCTTTTCCTAAGTCGTGTGCTACAACAGCATACTGATAGCCTAATTTTATTTAAAAAAGGGGAAAGAAAACATCTGTAGCAAACTACACATGCCACAAACTTGGATCTTTATGAAAGAATAAATGAAATGGTTGGATTTCTTTCCAGCATCTGCATTTGAACAGAATGTGTGATAGCTGATTTAGATTGAATTTCCTATACTGGGTAAAATTCTTAGTACAAACTCATTATAACATGACCTACAAATGAATTTAAATACATTGCATGCCACATAGTATCCTGTAAACCACTGCTACCCCTTGAAAGTCTGATTACATAATGCTTATAGTGCATGGTCAGTCCATACATATTGTGGCTGTTAGCCCTAGCATTGGGAAAATGTTTCACTGCACATGATAAATATTCAGAGTTTGAAATAAATAGACATATATTTATTTTTCTGTGAGGATAGCGCAGGACTGGGCAGTGTTTCATTCTGTTGTACGTAAGGTCGCCGTGAGTTGGAACCGACTCAGTGGCACCTAACAACAGACAGCAACAATATTTCAAACACACGAAGTAAACAAGAACTTAAGCATGCCAAAATGAACACTTTGTTTGACACTTATGTAAGTATCTGTTTTCTATATGTATATATTTTTTCCCTAAGACGTTGGTTTAAGAAAAAGCAGAAAGATTTTGTGATAATTATTTTTTAATGGATCTTTGCATGAAAGAAACCAATACATTGCTGGATGTAAAGTTTTATTTGAAACTTGATTCAGTGATACTTGGCAAAATTGTGCTTACCGAAGCTGCTTTTAAAATACTTAGAATCAAAGTAATATAGCATTTTGATTTTTTTTTTTTTCCGGGTCCACATTGAACAGCCGTTTATGCCATCAGCTCAGTGATAGAACAAATGATGTTTCCGCTTCGGCAGGCTTTGTTTTATCAGGATCAGTAACCTTATCAGCAGTTGACCCAGAACTATAATGCATGTCTCTGAATAGATAGCATATGTCACAACTCTGCAGACTTGCTTCATAAGCAAGATTGTCTAATGAAGATTTAATAAATAAGGAAATGTTTGCAGCAAGAAATGTCTTCTTTTATAATGATAACTTCTCTTAAGCATTTTTTACTGCTCATAGCTCATCTCTTATATTTCTTCTCATAAAAGCTAAAGAAATAAACATACATATAAATGCACCTGCACAAACTCCCATGATGCATCATTTACCTATTGATATTTCTTTTTGAAATATATCATTTGGGAATAAAGAATGTAGAATTTAGACTATCATATTGGTTTAAGGTTCTTATGTGACACACAAATGCAATAATGTCCGAAAGACTCAAACCCCGTGAGTGCGATAAACCGACAACACTTTTATGCAATTATGTAGTATTTCTTCTTAAAAGTAGGATAGTGGAGAAGGTTTTCTTCAAGTATAAAATGTCCTGGCTCACTTGTGCATTTTGACATTTAACACTTCTTTTCTTTGACCTTTGACAGGCTAGGGCTTGACCCAAAACTATTGGCTAAAATCCTAAATATGAGCTCCGGACGGTGTTGGTCAAGTGACACTTACAATCCTGTACCTGGGGTGATGGATGGCGTTCCCTCAGCTAATAACTATCAGGGTGGATTTGGAACAACACTCATGGCTAAGGTATGGTAAATGCAGAGACGACCCGAGAGAGAGAAAAAATGTGTTATGATCTAATTTATATTTCTTTGTTTCTGTCTTTTAACATAGCATGTGTCTATCTTAGAAGGTAAGATTACTAGAACAGTGATTCACTTACCTACTAGACATGAGTGAAATTTAGCTTAGATAAAAATCCTGATCTTGTTTGTTGTTATTTCTGGCCTTTGGATGAGAAAAATGGGCCAGGATTTTTTCTTCTGTGCTTGAGTTTGTTTATAATATAAGCTTGTAATTTTTTTTCTTTACTGTAAACTTACATTAATTTACCAAATCCTTAGAATGGGAGCAGTAAGATTTCCTGTTGGTTGATAATGCATTCAGTATACACATCACAAGAGAAAACAGTATTTTTCCCAGATAACACTAGATTTCTAAATACACCTTTCTGCTTTAAGACTATATATGGATTTATGTATAAATTAATTCACTTGGAAAGTGAATTGTTGGCCTCCTCCAGAGAGCATTTGTGATCTCAACTTGGAAAATGCTTTTCAGAAAGTCTTTCAGATTTCTACATAGAGCTTATTTCGCCCAGTTGACTTTTTTTTTTCCTAGTTGCACAAGTAATGATACGTACACCTGTATACCATTCTTGGCTTACTCTCCCTCATGCCTCATGATGTTCTGTCCATTCTACTTCCTAAATATGCTTTGAATTAATCCAATTTCCTCCTCTTCCCTACCAGTACCTTAACCTGGCTTCATTTAGATTACCACAACAGCCTTTAACTGGTCTCTATGTCTTTCACCTAATCTCCAATTCATTCTCTATATGATAGCCAAAGTGTTCTTTCTAAAATGTAAACCTGATTATCTCACTTTCCTTATTAAGTTTCTTTTATGGTTTTCAGTTATTTGTAGATTAAAGTCCATCTTCACAATCTGTCTCAGGAGGCCCTTGATGATTTGGCCTTTGCTGGCCTCACCAGACTCAGTTTTGCCTTTCCACTCCCCTCTTTGCTTCAGCCATACTGAACTCATCTCTGCTGCATTATTATCAGGAACACCTTTCCCAACTCCCCAAGGCTGTGCCTCCCTGGCCTCAATGGTGTCACTTCTACCAACTGTACAAATACTTGTTTAATTGTCTTTCTCCCTCAGTAGACTGAGTTTGGGTGGGCGGTGACTATCTTGTTCATCCCAGCTTCTGGCACAGTACCTGGCACATGGTCACTCACTTTGAATATTTATTAGATGAAGCAGTGTTTGAAACTGTGTTCTTTATTTTGCAATTTTGTTTAGCTGAAGAAAAAAAAAATTTTTTTTATGTCAGTCTGTACCTTGTATTTAGGTTTGCATATCCTTAGCATAGGCTTTTATGATCATGCTGTGTGGCTGTCAGGAAACAGGAACTAGCTCCTTGGGTATATAGTTTTCATCAAAAAAACAGGGTGATTTCTTGGGGTACATGGAAGAATGAAAGAATCACATTTATGCCCAGTGTCCATTATGTATCCTATATGAAGTGAGTTGTGACCTCTTAGCTTATTTGGTTCCTAAAATATTGCCAATGGCTCCAACAAAGGAGACAACCAGTCAAGTGTAATAGGTAGCAGACTTCTAATCAGAAGGAGGTTAATTGTGCAGCCCCCATTCTCTTGCAGTCCTGGCTTTGTTTTAGAGCTCTCCACTGTATCTGCCCTCTACAGTGTGCAACCCCTTCACTCTGGTCATTTTCTCCTTTGTCTTTGCCCAGGAAGAATCTGCCACTCTTATGGGTCCTTCTTTTAAAATTGTTTTGTTTATTTTGTTTGTATATATAATAAAAGATAGCCTTTTCAACTAATAATGTAAGACAGTGCAATAGTAAAAAGTATAGATATTACTGTTCTCTTTTATTCTCGTTTCCTCTATGGAATGCAGTTATCATTTCTCTGATAAAGAAGACTTCTTCTTAATTTTGCTTAGAATGAGAGAGGAACTAACTTTACTTAGAAAAGAGCTTTTAAAAATCTTTTATCACCTCAGATAGCTATTAGCAAGAACACACCATAGTTGATTAGGTTTATTCTAGAGAAGTTTGCAGAGATTAAAGAAATCCCTACCAATGCTACATTGATTAAAGCAATTGTACCTGCTTGGGCGGATCCAGACTTTACTTATTAAGAGATGTTTTGCTCAACTGCTATTAAATCTCTTTGTGCCTAGGGGATATGACATTAGCACTGCATCTAAGTAAAGTCTTGTGCACTTATTTCTAGGTTTTAACATTACCATCATAGAACTTTAACATTGTGTGTGTATATAATCAGAACATAATCCGTACAGAAAACTAGATCATTCTTCTGAAGTCTCCTGGAAGTTTGTTTCTCATGAGCACCAAGGAACAACTTGTGGAAAGTCTTGATAACTCTTTTAGCATCAATGTTAACTCTCCTAGTGAAGTAGAATATTTGTTCCTTTTTTAATTATGTGTTATAAGCTTCAGATGTTGCCTTCTTTTTCTGACATTTCAGGATTGACAAACTGCTCAGGCTAGTCATCTTTCTCTCTATAGAAACCCTCATAGCTCGTTTAGTTTTTCCTTTTTGGTTTTATTAGCTCTTATTTAGGATATATATCCACCCCTTTGAAAAACTCTAGTGGACTTTTCTTCTTCTAGACAGTGTTGTCTTTTCATCAGTAAGTTATGTTTACCGTGTGTTCTTATATTCTAATTAAATTACTAAGTTAAAAATTAAGCCCAGTCTATGCAAATGGTCTGTCATTTTAAAATAAATTAAAAGCATTTGGCAGATATGCTGCAAAATGGTGTCAACAAAAGAGATTTGTCTCCTTGTCTGGGCATGAGCAATAATGTAGCTGTCCACATTTGTTAACTGTGTAAACTGCTTTTTAGCGGATAAGCTATCGAAGAATGTATGGTTAAGTATATTTTCCAGATCTATGTGTTTTGGAGACCTTGTGGCGTAGTGGTTAAGAGCTCAGCTGCTAACCAAAAGGTCAGCGGTTCAAATTCACCGGCTGCTTCTTGGAAACCCTATGGGGCAGTTCTACTTTGTCCTGTATGGTCACTGTGAGTCAGAACTGACTCGATGGCACCTAACAAGAATGTGTTTACATGTGAAAATTATACAGATAAGTACAAAATAATGTTTGTGCCTGTACTATAAATATTCAGGAGGCTAGAGATATAATTCAACATTTATGCTTCTTTATTTTTTCTTTGAATCATTTTCTCCTTTGGGTAGATGGTGTCAGTAACTACTGAGTTATCAGGATCGTTCCTCAAAGAGTAGAAATATTTCTCATCTTGCTTCTTGTCCTCCTCTTTCATTACTTGTTGACTTTTCCAGTGATGGGGGAGGCGAGGTGTATGGTAACAGTAAGAATTAAATCTAGATGGTTTGCCACTTATTGCAGCTCTTATAAAAATCACAAATAAAATGAAATGTAGGGGATATTGTTTTAGTTATCCATGCCTTCATTGTCCCCTGCTTATCCCAGATATTTCAAGTTTGGACATGACTCCATTTTTATGGTAGTGGATATCCATTTGCTACACTTTAAATATAATGGACTTATAATGTTAGATTTTGTCTGGTTTTAAACAGCCTTAAGTTTCCTGAAACTCTTTATCAGAATGAAGCTTTAGCTCTCTGAGACCTTATGGATTGTTGTGAAGATGGTCATCCCATTGCACTTGGAAAAAAGCCCAGACTCCTTACCATGGCATATAAAACCTTCCATGATCCTCCTTTTCCCATCCCCAGGCCTCATTGGTCACCTTGTTATTTCTTGATTATCCAAGCCATGTCCCACCTCAGGGCCTTTACCTTGCTATTTGGTCTGTCTGAATCTCTCTTCCCCAAGCTCTCCAAAAGACTCACTCCTTCCTAACATTCAAATCTTGGCTCAAATGTCTTTGACTCAGGGAGGCCTTCCCTAAGCATTTCTATCATAACTCTTCCCTCTGCCCCATCCCTTGCTAACCATCACTTTCTAACCCCTTGCCCAGCTTTATTTTTCATAGCACGTATTTGTTTTGTTGTCTTCCCCTCTGGACAATAAGTTTCATTAATTAGTGGGTTGGTTTTATCGTGATATATCACCAGCACTTAGAACAATGCTCATCACACAGCAGTTGCTAAATATTTGTTGAATAAGAGATTGAATAAATATTCAGTAATTCCTTAACGGGCTTCCACAAATTTGAAAAAGATACCACTGTAAAGCATTTCCCTGTGTGATCCCACCTGTATAATAACCCCAGTCCAGAACAAATAGGTCTTGTGTAGGGTGAGGATGGGGACACTTAGAAATAAAGGTTTCTGCCTGGAGCAGTTTTACAGCTGTATGAAAGCATTTACTAAAACAATATAGCTTACTTTTCCAGACTTCATTTTTCCTTCTTTGAAACCAAAGCATTAGGAACCACAGTTCCAAAGGGAACTTTCACTATCAGTCTCAATATGTTCCTTCCTCCTCCTTGTTTGATTTAGGATCTGGGATTAGCACAAGACTCTGCTACCAACACAAAGACCCCGATCTTTCTGGGCAGTCTGGCCCATCAGATCTACAGGATGATGTGTGCAAAGGGCTACTCAAAGAAAGACTTCTCGTCTGTGTTCCAGTTTCTACGAGAGGAGGAGACCCTGTGAGTGTGCCCTTTGGCTGTGGACACTGTTGGAAACGAACTCTATCTTGGAGCCTCCTTATAGGTCACTGCACGAGTAAATGGGGTTAATCAAAGGTCACATGTCTGCTTTTAATTGCTTAGGTCATAGCAAATCCTGGGATTTTTCCACCCATTTTTAATTGCTTATTCTTGTAGAATATTTAGCAAACATATTTATCAGATTTTTTTCCCCTCAAGCCACTAATGGGCTCTGCTATAACTAGCTGACATACCTTTTTTAAAAATTTGATCCCTGAGCATATTCAACTAAATCGTTGAATACTTCAATCAGAATATTATTTACTTCACTTTGTAAGTAAAACCAAATATTTTTTCAACCCGATTAAATCCTTCTTAAAGGAAAGAAAATAAATTGGTGTGAGTAGAGATGTTAGAATAAGGAAGTATAGCGAGTTCCTCCTTGCATCCCTCAGGAAGTTTGTCCTGTTAACCAAGTGGTGATATTCTTGTATTACTGAGGTTACTGATTGATTTTCCAGGGATTTGATAAAGCAGAACTTGTTGCTACGTGTTTTGTAATTTGGACTCAGTTACAATATTTTAGGGTGTGTGTCTCTCTTGTTACAACAACCAGTACTCAGCAGACTTGGTTTTTTTTGTATTTTTGCTTCCTTGTACATTCTTACTACATATTTTTGCACTTCAAAAGAATGACATCTTTAGACCTCCTCCAGAGCCAGTGATGATATTTGCTTTAGATGATTATTACATTTTAAATATAACCACGTTATTTTGAAGTTAAATAAATTTCTATGCTGATAATACTTTCTTGGAGTTTTTGTTTCTTTCCAGTCATTTGGAGAACAATCAAATAATCTGACAAACTGATATTACAGACTTAGGGGAAAGCATGGGAAGAAAGAGAAGGAAGGGGAAATCAAAAGGAACGAGGCTCCGAGTTGGCTAGTGGAAGCCAGCTTCCCGCTACCTGAATACTTCAGTGGTGTTTGGTTGAATTGTTTCTGGCTTGTGGAGCTAGAGGAATTCAGCCTGCATTGAGTGCAGCATCCCCCAATATGGAGCACTGTTACCACTTTTCCCACCTCAGTCCCTAGAAGCATTCCAGGTGATAGACTTGGCTACCAAATTTGACTACTATCATTTTTTCCTAGTGATAAAACAGACACACACACAAGGCACTATTCTAAATACTGGGAATACAGTGATGAATAAGACAGACAAAATTCCTGACTTCGTAGAGCTTTAATTCTGGTGTCTTGTGTGTGTGGCCGGGGTGGGGGGGGGTGTGCAGGCTGGGGCTACACAAGAAATAAATATTTAATATTCAGTAAGGGCTAAAAAGAAAAAGCAGGATAAGGGGGATTGATGGAGAGTGCCAGAGATATTTTATTAGGTTGGTAAGGGAAGCACTATCTGGTAAGGTGGCAGTTGAGCAGATAAGAAGGCTTGAGGAAGCAAGCCATACCAATACCTGAGGGAAGAACATTCCAGGCATTGTTGTTAGGTACCATCCAGTCGGTTCCAACTCACAGTGACACTATGCATAACAGAATGCAACTCTCCCTAGTCCTGCACCATCCTCACAGTAGTAGGTATGTTTGAGCCCATTGTTGCAGCCGCTGTGTCAGTCCATCTTGTTGAAGGTCTT